AGCCAGAAATGGTTGATTTTTAGGATTTTTTAGCACAAAAATGGCCGCCAATTGGCCATCTTGAATCAGATTGTAAAACAAAATGATGTGCATCAAGGTCCTATAATGTCTAATGTATATACCAAGTTTGAACAAAATTCATCAGTAAACAGCCGAGAAATGCTTGATTTTGATGATTTTTAGTACATAAATGGCCGCCATTCGGCCATCTTGAATCACATCATGAAACAAATTGACGTGCATATGTATAATATCATGTATGATGTATGTGTGAAGTTTGATTGTGATTGGTCCAGGCATTTCTAAGATACAGGTCCGGACGCACGCACAGACACACGCACACATGTACACAGGGAGGTCAAAACACAAGTCCCCGTTTTCGGACTGCGTCCGAACGGGGACTAATAAGTATTAAAACATTCACTGCACCTTATGACGACTCAAATAAAAAACCAATATGTAATTCAAAGAATTTATGAGATAAGAGAATGCAATTTTAATATCTATGTACATTTAAGTGCATGCATTATTAATGTAGAAAGCATGGTATTTTAAAAATGTGTGAAGTACAATTATGATTCTATATCAGTTTCAATCAACTCTAAACATCTAACCTTGTAAATAGAGAGAAGAAAATCCACAATGACAACCAGACTCTATACCATCAACTATATTATCCATCAGGAGTTGTATATACTTATCATTACTCAACCATACATCACAGTCAGCATTGGTAAGTCTCATTTGAATTGGATGCGAGTATTCATCCGTCGGACAGTCATTATCTTTACCAGGTGTCAACAAAGACAACGTGTAAACACTTGATTTTCGTGCATTGCAACAGCTACAGCGACTGATAGCTTCATCTGACGAGTGCCAGCTGTAGAGAAATTAACAATGTTGAATAAAAATGTTAAATAAATTTGAATATTGAAGTGAATGATTATCGTAGAATCACAAAAATCAAGCAAATTCAAAAACACCAAAACGTTTATTGATATTGTTTTTAGGTATGTGGCTTCACACATGTGAACGAACAAACAGGGGTGTGAATCATCAAAGGTTAAAAATCAAATCATGCACACATAACCTTGGATGGTCGTTCATTTCTTGCTTCAATTTCAACATGCAAAAAAGGAAGATGCTTAGCAAAATGAGATTCTATTTAGGATTGCTTGTCATTGCAGTTATTATTCAAATTCCACACTGGAAGCCATATCAAGCATAACACAACACCAAGTGCTGCAAGGCTCCACAAATAGTCACAGATTGACGATATCTATTGTCTAGCAAGCAGAGTGTCAATAATCATAGAAATGCACAATTCAGCTAACAATATCTAGAGTAGAGTACAGTCTTAGACTTGACTTACTTGTCATCTTCTACAAATATCCTTTGATATGGTGTTAATACATCAAGTAATCTTCGATTAGTCTTTGTAGTATCATTAGTGTAAACTATAGCATCCAGAAGATTCCTATCAGTAACTGGGGTTTCATCTGGAAAATCACTTGATGCCCCTTTGTAGATGGCCACTGCAGCAACACTGTAGTGTATAAGGCCTCCCTTATCAGGTAATGAAATATCTGGTCTAGGACTCATGTTACTAGACCCAATCAAAAATAATCCAAAACTGTCCAAATTATGTCCTGTTAAATCAATTGTCTTATAAGAAATGGCTGGGTCTACTGTGCCATCATAGAAGACAACAACCAAACCACTGATGTCAGCATTTATTGGTCCTTTCAGTTCAACAAATTCTCTATTATCAGTACCAGGATTATTTGAGTTTAGTTCATTGATGACGACTTGTGGTGTATTTGGTTCTTGGGTAGAAGTGATGTCTAGTTGTGGCAGTGGTGACAGGGAGGAAACAATATCAGTACAGTTGTTGGGTTGTCTAGGAGACTGGCAGACAAGTCTGAACGCTGAGGATTGTAGTTCAGGACAACAAATACAACGACTGATGCTGTCATCATTGACATGAATATAACTTTGCCCAGGCAACAAAACATCCAAAAGGTAGGAATCTGTACTATCTGTCGTACTGTACACCACAGCATCAACTAAGTTGTCTGGTTTTGGTTTGATCCCATTAGGGTAACTTGCGGGATTTGTTTGATAAAGGGTAACAGCTCCAATGCTATTGGTCAGAACTAACTCATCAATGACAACGTCAACAGATTCCTCCACATTACGAGTACCAAGAATGAAATAACCATTGCTGCAGAAAATATAATGAAAGAAAAAATGTAAAACTAGCTGAATATTTTCATATGTAAATGAGAACAACATTTATTCTTGTTCCTCATTCCAATGAAGTTAGTCCGAGGGTGGTCAACCAGTGTATTAGCATGCACTCACCTATCAGTTCTATAGTTCTGTAATGATATAGTCTTGTATGCTCTATCATCTTGACCATTAAATAGTACCACTATCAATGTATCTAGCGCTGTGCACCCTTTTCCACCATCAGCTAACTCAATGAATTGCTCCTTACCAGATCCAGACAAGTCGATGTAGATTTCATTGATGACAACCAAAGGTAAAGAGCAGTTATTGTTAGTGCCTGCAATGAAGATTAAAGTTTTGAAATGTGTGAATCCTTGACTGGTTTGGTTGGTAGGAATTTGAGAAAATTTGAATTTTTTTTTTTTGTGAAATGTAGAAATTTCGACTAACAACCTCCATAGATAGCCAATATCAATGGTATCTCAGTACCAGTAGATGATATGTTAAAGCACAAACACAGACCAATTTATGAATAAAGTCCCCCGAGTTGCTGTACTGTGCAATGCTTACCTGGTGTAGGCATAGATATCCTGTATGCAAACATATCCAAAGGACTATAGGACAGACATCTTGAGATAGATTCACTTTGGTATTCAGATATCATTATAGGAGTCTGTCCTGGTGTGCAAACAATTATTTCATGTCAACATTCAATAATTTAGTAAAATTACAGGTTGAAAGCCAGCAATATGAATATTTGAAACTACACTCAAATTATCATTTACCAATTTAATTTGTCAAGAGAAACCAATTTTTCCGCAAGATTTATGAAATTGTGTAACATTGGAATTCAGTATCACTGAGGTTATTTTTAGGTACAGTGACACCAGATGGGCACAGCCCTTACTTGTATGAAAATTGTACACATCACAGCTTTTTTTCAGAATGTTGAAATAATTAATGGCAAATCACAATACAATTTTAGTGACAGCGTCCCCCGTGTGCATTAGTTTAGGGAAACAAATTTACCATTGATATTTTCTTCTGGATCTTATTTATACATGTATTCTCTACACGCTCATTATCTATGGTGGCAAAATCACATCTCGTAGATGATAGCACTAGTTTACACAAAGATAATGTCACATATCACCATATAACTAAATTCTAGCTGACACTTCTGGACTTAAATAAAACATCTATCACATGACAACATACGGTATAAATGTATACAATATTAAACCATATTTTTGTTGTCAAAACAAAGTTTCTGTATAAATATTTACCTGGTGCCAGTGTATTCAATAATGACTGGTCAATGTCACTGTCACTGCTGTATACCAAGGCATGAATTAAACTAACATTGGTGACTACTGTACCAGGTCTGAATGCCATGGGTGGAGCACGGTATATTGCAATTGCTCCAGATTTGTCTTTCAGAAAAGCATCACTGATTTCAATAGATGGACCTAAGAAAACAAAAAATAGGTAAATGTTTCTAGACACTTTCAACAAACAGGATTAATTATCAGACATTTGGAATCTGACACTTGTACATTTCTGTAGTTCTACAAAATGCAATAATTGTATAGCCAACTTACAATGGTGCTGGTATTTTCTTGGTTAGTCTTGGATGAAATAGAAAGAATTTTCTTTTCATCTCAATCGTTGAAAGAATGTTGATACAATTATTTGGGTCTATATAAAGGCACAAAAGTTTAATTTGACATTAAAAGGGTTAATTCACCTCTAGAGGGCGTTCTATAAGCTGAAATACACACATTGAATGTTATTTTCTTAAGAATTCAACATACCTGGCTGCATACCTGTAACACCAATCAATAAATACCCATTGAGGTCAGTGGTATATCCATCCAAATCAATAGATAGATACGAGCTACTGATGCCATCATATAGAACCACTACAATGTATGGAAGTAGTGTACTTCCCTCACCGCCATCGTAAATTTCGATAAAACTGTTGTTCTCAGATTGATTAATATTTATTTCATTAATTACAATTCTGATATCATTCAATGAGCAATCATTAAGTGAACCCAGAGTGGGTATGCCACGTGTGAATGGCCTGGATTCTCGTACAGCACCAGATAAACATCTATTAATAGTGTTCAGTCCTCTTCGTAGTGCAGTAGAATTGATCTAAAGAAAAATAGACAATTAATTACCAGTAATTTCTGAATGTATTTCTCAATTAATAAACATGAGAATTAAGATAATGATAGTTTAATACTTCATAACATGCTGCAGTCTAGTATATCATTAAGAATTTGTCTTAGAGTCAGTTTCGGACAATTTTAGAAAAACAAATTTGAACTAAAACAAGTATTGTGAACTCAACATTTTCCCGAAACAAAACTGAATTGTTTTTCAGTATTTTAAGTATCTTAGCAAATGATAAATTACCTGTTGCGCTCTAGAGCTACCAAGCAATGCTTTTGTTAGGAGATTGCTTGATGAGTTGCCATGGTTACTATAGACAACAGCATCCAGGATATAGTAACTTTTCACCAACGTGCCTTCAGGAAAGAGAGAGACATCAGCTCTATATAAACCAACTCCTCCATTCTGTACTGGTAGAAAATCTGTCAAAAAATGTCAACTGTCATAATTTGTAATTGAATTACCGTCCAGGTATTGACCCCAAAAATCATTAGTTGATCAATTATCTCATTACAATTAAAAATGGCGTTGAGGGCGGAACTGTAAGGACGTGTGTTGACTGACCTCCGTAACGAACTAAACATTTCTCAAATTATATGCTTAGCTTTCGTATAATTTTGCTATCAACTTGAGCTTAAGTTGTTACTATTGAAGTAAGCCATTTATGGGGATCTCATGGAACCAAAATCTTTAAAAAGACCCAGAATTAGATCTTCTACCAGCTCGTCCAGCAGTGAGATGGCGTCCATTGAAAACGCGAGTATTGAACAGTCTGCTATTACGCAACACGCTAACGAGGACAAATTCCCGGAGCTTTCATCACCTGAACTGAAGATTTTAGCAAGTATTCTTACCAACCAAAATCGAGAACTGGCAAAACAAATTTCTGATGTGAAAGCGGAATTAACAAATGACATATCTTCGATTACTATGAAACTAAATTCGAACATTGACGAAGTTAATGAGTTGAAGAGTAAAATTGACGACATGCACACGAATTGTAAATTTATGGAATCCGAGATTGAAGCACTACGTGGCACGTTGGACAAAGAACGTCGCAATAGAATATCAGCTCAGGTCGAATTGGATAGATATAGTCGGAAGAATGATGTTATCATTCGCGGCATAAACTATGAAGTAGGCGAAGACATAGAAATGAAAACACGAAAGATGTTATCTGAGGCATTGAAATTACCGTCAGTGAACAATATGCAATTCAGCAAAGTCCACCGCTTAAATAAATCGTCGGCTGACCGTCCACATCCACCAGTGATTATTCGATGCATTTCCCTTAATGATAGAGATGAAATTCTTGGCCGCGGCAATTTATTGAAAGACACAAAGTTAATTGTACACGAACACTTGCCGATACTGCTGCAGCAAGCACGCAATAAACTTTTGCCGGCATACTACAGCGCTAAAAAAGACGGTGCCCGTGTTCAAATTCGAGTTCCAGCGAGAGATACCTGCGCTTTGCTTATTGTTGATGGAAAAATTAGTAAACGTATTGAAGCTGTTATATAAGACATTTTATGATATTAGCACTAGTACTGTTAATAACAACTTACTGTTTTCACAGCTCACATAAAAGTTATACCAGTAATGGCGGAGGTTGGTATAACACGTGCTTATTTGCATACTTGTTTTCATCTTCTAATTGTGACTAAATGACTACAAATAGACCCGGAAAAGTATATATTTTTAGAATCGCCAGACTTCAAGCTTTTCACAAGTGTATTTTGCATGCCCGTATCTGCATTCTACGACGCGTGGCACAGATCTAGAAGCAGTACCTACACACGAATTGGTGACGTCATAAAATACATGACCTTCAATCGGGGTCGTTTCCTCGGTATATACGAATTGGTATATACAAATTACAATAAAGATACTTAAGACATTACACATAAGGTAAAACAAATCACGTGACAATATAATGATAATAACGGTAATAAATCCTAGCTTAACAGTTGA